GGGGGAAGGGGAAGAGGCGGAAGAGAGGGCAAATTGAGAGGGAGAGGGAGAGGGAGAAGGTGTCGAGCAGAGGGGATAAGAAGAGGAAGGGGAAGCCGGGGGACAAGGGGGGTAGAGGGCGATGGGGGACTTGGAAGGGGCTTCTGTTTAATTCCAGGGGGAGAAAGAAGGAATAGCAAAGCGGACGAAGGTTTCCGATTATTTCGGAGACGGGGGTTGTGACTCCTTTTGGTTTGGGCGTTCTCCCTCCCTCCTCCATCCTCGCTCCTATTCCCTTGTCCTCCATCTCCATAGTCCTCACCCTCCTCATCCATCATCCCTCGTTCCTACATGCATCCGATGCCTCCCTCCTCATGTTACTGCTCTAATTCCTCCCCGCGTTCCTCATCCTACTTATCCTCCTTCATTCCCCCCTCCTCCTCCTCCTCCTCCTCCTCCTCCTCTTCTTACTCAGACTCGCGGTCTTCCTCATCATCCTCATCCTGCTGCTGCTTCGCTTCCGCAAAGATGCCGAATGTGTCCCCTCAAAATTGCACGGGGGCTGACAGAAACACTGACATCCCACCAGCCCTCTGGGCGTAGTGGATTAGAGTACGAGCTCTCCCCCCAAAACTCATTATAGCAATTCCGGAAGTTTTTACCCCTCTCTCTACTCCCACCCCGGGGCCTCGCCGCAATTCCTGCAATGCTATGCAAAACTCTCCTGCAAAAAACGCCGCACATGCTGCTTTCACCAACGTGAGCTTTGACCTCTCTCTTCTCTCGACAGCTCTCCCGAGTCGCTCCTCGATGGGACGACGGAAACACTTAGCGCGTCAATAATATGCCCCTCGGGGCAAACGAACACGATGAAGAGGACGGGAATAGGACGAAAATGAAGTCATACTGTATGTGACATCATGGAGTCTTGGAAACCCTTAAAGTCAGAGAAATGAACGTATCAAAGTACCCGTAGGTCGGAAGAAGTAGGTAAAAACATCAAGTAGAATGGCGCTGAAAGTAGATTGGGCTTCCGCCCGCCCACTGAAGAGGAGGTAAAAGGGAGCACCACTCGACCCTTAAAATAGGAAGGCGCCTAAAGTAGATTGGGCATCCAACAATATCTACTTTCCACGACCGACGGGTACCTCCGGCCCCGCTGAGGGAGGGCGAGGGGTCGGGAAGGGGCTGATTGTCGGCGGCGAGCCCGGGGGGGAAGTGACAAGGCGGGGCCGTTTCAGAAGGCTCGGAAGTCCCCTGGCCCGCTGAAAGGTCGTTTCAACATTTCCCCGAAGACACAGCAGAAAACTTCTCAAAGGCACGGGGGTTTCTGAGAAAACCCGCCACCATTCTGACAAGGCCGTTCCCTTCTCACTTCCCCCCCTCGCTCGCCGCCGAGATTGGCGAACCGTGAGCCCCTGGGATCCTCTGTGAGGGCCGGGGGGGCCTGGCGCCAACTACAGGCGGGAGCCACGCGCCCGCGGGGCACAGCCACGAGCGCCGACGACGCTGGCGGCGGCGGCGCCGCTGGCGGCGGGACCGCGACGGCGACCCCGACGAGCGCTGCGGCCGTGACGACGACGGCAACGACGAACGGCGCTGGCAGCGACGACGACGCCAGCGACGCCAGCGGCGACGACGCCGGCGACGAAGGCGGCGACGACGACGGCGGCCACAAAGACGACGACGCCAGCGATGACGGCGGCGGCGGAGACGGCGATGACCATAACGTCCAGGCCACCACGACGACCAGCGCGGCGACAACAGCAACGACGGCGGCGGCGCCGCCGACTGGGGAAACCAAAGGGTAAGAATACCGCTACCGGAGTTCACCAGGGCTGCATTCTGACCAGGATTTCGAGGCGAAGCCAGCGGTGGCGACGAAGTCCTCCCACGAGGCCCAAAGAAGGGAGTACGAGGGAAGGGTGGCGGCATGGGTATCTGTTCCACCTCTTGCCATCGCTCGGGCGTCCATTCCCCGTTTTTTTTGACTTCGTGCT